AATTCTATACCGTATTCTAAAATCTCTTCTATTTCTTTATAAAATGTAAAATTATAGAATATTTTTTCTAAGTCTACAAGTAAAATTCTAAAAATCATAAAATATATATATATATATATATACCTTTATTATTTCTATACAAATTTTTATCATATTTAACACCAAAAGAAGTGAAAGCAAAATAATTGTTATAACTATGAGCAATTTTTTTAAAAGCAACTGCCTCAGATAAAGTAGAAATAAATAACTTAAACAATTCAAGAGGAACACTATTTAACTGTAATAATTTTTTATCACAACAAAAGCCCTTAATTTCTTTATGAAACTTTTTTGCATCACAATATTTACAAATTGTACATGATGGAAGAATATAAGATTTGACCGGAATATCTCGTAAATTTATTCGTTTGAAATCAACTCTTTTAGAATCACGTAAAATATTAGGAATTTCTGATGTTTCATTTTCATTTGCAGAGTTTTTTTCAAGACAAATGCTTTTGTCTTTGTATAAATCAATACAATCATCAATAGAACCTAAAAATATAAAAATAAGATTGATGAAAGATAACATCAACAATTCTACAAAAACAAAAAAAAAACAAAAAACAAAAAAATGGAAAAACACAAGTAAATGAACATAAAAAAACGTCAAACCTATTTCGAACTCACGACGCCTAGTTCGACTTTTTGGTGCATAACTTGTAATGACTTCCAAAATACCAAATATGTATATTAAAATTATGTAGAAAAGGGAATGAAAAAAATCAACAAAAAATCATACTTCAACAAATAATCATACCTAAAACCCTTTTACGCAATTTGTCTTCTTTTACCATTGACTTAAGTTTTGAATCTTGTGTTTGTGTGGACGACGTTCTTAAATGAGCACGTTTATTCTTAAACTAATTATAAACATTTTTATCACAAATTTGGCCATATAACGACAACTCAGAGACTATCTGTGTGATTTTTGATTTGTTTGGAGTTATGTCGCCTTGATGAAATATAAATTTAAGAATTTGGAGTTGGGGAAATGTAGGTGTCCATCCACCCATTATCACTATGAAAGCATGCAAGTCAACTACAAGATATGCAAATCCTCAAACTTAAAACAGAAAAATTAATAAAATATACTATACTGAGGAGAAAAATAAATAAAAAATATTATTATTATTATGCTAACTCCGATAAATATAGACTATATATAGCTATGCATAGACAAGCCACCATGCTTCAACTATTTATCAAAGTGTGCATAGACATCATATTTCATTTATTTATTTAGCAAAATGTTAAGATAAAAGCATGTCTAATTATCATTCACCTGCAGCAAAAATTGAGAGGAAGAGTTAGTTTATGTTTTTTTTTTTCATGTTATATAACATGTATATATTAGCAAGAAATCATCTAATTTTTTTTGACGAGATTAGGTAATTTGAGATAGATGTTTTTAGTTTTATTTGATTCGTTGAGGTTTATGCATGAATTTGATAATCAGGTTCTTGTTCTTGCACTATGTTGTTTGGTAGAAGAAATTCATAATTGATTAGTGGAAAGTATTGCTTTGTTTTCTAGGAAATGAAACAACCTAAAAACTCTGGTTGCCTTTTCTTGGCTACTCCATGCAAGGCCGTTAAGTCTCCGTGCACGGAGGCGCACGAAGGCCACAAATTTTTTTTCTTTTTTGTTTTAAAATATTTTTGGGAATAATAAGAAGACAATCTTTTTTTCAGTAAAAATTTGTTTATTCTACCACCCGTGAATCTCTTGTCAAATCTAATTCGAAAAGCAAAGTACACTTTTTTTTAAACTTAAATACCTTCATTTTTCACCAGATTTTTTTTTCATTCAACTTACCCATACTTCAAATATTCCACATAACAAACAATAATTTTCTCATAAAATGGATGTCTCACGTAGTTTCTTCAGAATCATCACCCCTTTCTCGAATCACAACATTTGTCTGGTTAGTACTTCTTTGACATTTTAATATATATTTTATCACATGCTTATGCTTTTATTATTTTTATATGTATATATAACATAGATGCTTCCTGCATCTTTCGTTAATGACTAGAGGCAACAACTTGGTGATACAATACAAGTAACTGCATATGATGGCATAATTGTCACCATCAAATTAGAAGGAATCAATAGAAAAATATACATAGCCGATGGATGGGAACAATTTTTTGACCATCATAATTTACAGGATGGTTATGTTCTAATATTCGAATATAACGATAATTTCACACTAAACATGACTATATTTGACCATTCTGGGCTAGATGTTACATACGACTTTGATGAAGAATGCCAAGAAGGAAACACTTTAGATAATCCCATATTTGAAATAATACTAACACCACATCTTAGCAGCCATCGGAAAATTCTAAGTTGTATCTTTTATTTTTTAATTATACACACACACACACACACACACACCATTCTACATAATTTTTGAGTTGAAATTTTTTCATCACTGCAGTATATAACATGAAGTTTTGCCCGACAGCACTTGCCTAAATTTGTGAGCAATATTCAAATCCACGATTCTCTGAATCACAATTGGGACATTACCACAAATTTAACTTTTGCTTCTGCTAATCTACTTTACGTTCACATGCATTATATATATCCATGGCAATTAATATAAAACAATTCCATCAATTTCAAAGTTTGGAACTTCCAAACCTCAACAAATTTATCAAAAATCTGCACGTGGAAAACAATGCACAAATAATAAAAGCACGAGAAAAAAAAAGAACAAAATAGGTAATATAAAAAAAACACATTAAACTTCAGATATAAAAATAAAAAGAGATATAAAAAGAGAAAAGAGAAGAAGAAATATTTTTTTGAAAATATACAATAAAAACAATATAAAAGAAAGTTATGAAAATTAAATAAAGAATAATATAAATACAGTCTAGTTAAAATTGAAAAATTAAGTTTTATTACGAAGAATAAGACTAGAAACAAAACTTATATCTATCACGGAGGGTATTGCTTCCATACACGAGGCAAAGAGCATATATATATATATATATTTTTTTTTTCCTCTTTTTTTTAAGCTAATATCTAAGTAAACAAAATAATTTATTTATATAACTTTTTTTTTCTTTTTATCTTATTATTATTATTATTATTATTATTATTATTATTATTATTATATAATAGGCATGCAAAAATAAAAAGAAACCAAAAAAAGTTATTATAAAGTTTTTAAATTAAATTGAAATAATTAGAAGTAAAAATAAATATTATTTAATTAAAATTGAAAAAATTACATTTTAAACGAAAAGAATAAAAAAGAATTCTAAATCGAAAAAAAAATTTTAAAACAATTTTCAAAAAAAATATAATAAAAATAAAATAAAAGAAAGTTATGAAAATTAAATAAAGAATATATAAATATTATTTAGTTAAAATTGAAAAATAAGTTTTATTATGAAGAGAAAAGAATTTTAAATTAAAAAAAAAATTAACATCAGGGAGACAAAGTCTCCGTGAACGAAGACTTTTTGTCTCCGTGCATGGAGACTACGAGTCTCCGTGTACGAAGAGTTAGAGAGAGATTTCTTTTAAGCCAATATATTTTTACATATAATAACTAACTAAAATGATAATTTTTATTTTTATTACATTTAAAAAACATGAAGCAAATTTTTACTTATAACTAACTCTTTACATTTTAGAAATATATTGAGCCAATATTTTTTTATTGAGCACATAGTGAAGAGATGAGACTTGGTGGAAAGTATGGAAAATTGCGTGTTGCAGTAAATTTGGAGATACACTGTATAATAAAATATATAGTAAGACAAACGACGTCGTTTTTGTTCCCCACTTGAAAAAAAAATTAAATTAAATTGTTACAGTGAGACAAAATGGCATATGTCACTGTTGCTTTCTACAGTAACTTCATATTCTCCTTTTTATATAGTAGGGATAGAAATATTGATTCCTTATGATGGTGGGTGACTGGAAAGGGATTTTAGAAATGGTGCATATGATTTGCATTTACTTAATTGTTTTCCTTTATCAATGTTATGAATTATGACCGCACTTACTGAAATTATAAGAGATTTCTAAGAAAAAAACGAAGTTTAGTTGTGATGTACTTATTAAAAAGATGTCTTTCCTTTTCTATTATTTTATTAAATTAGGTATATAATTGCAAATTTGTTTTGGTGTGTTTATTAAAACTATGGGCTCGCCCTATTTTTATTTATTTTTAATGTATTTTGTAATAAAGTGATGAAGAATAAGGTGTGGTTAAAAAAAAAAAAATGAATTTGTGAGTAATATTATTCTATTGAAAACTATGTAACTGGAATAATGTTAAATCACTATTTAAAAAATCATTTTGATGGAAAATTTGGGCTCAAACATGAATTATATTTCCTCCCGTTTGGTATTGATTAAAATTAAGCCTCTATTTGGTAGAGATTAAAATTAGATTTTTAGTAGATTTTATTAGAATTGAAATTTGTGGTTGAAAAGTTGTGGAACTAGTGAAATATATGATTAATATTGATTATTTGACTTTGACCTAGATTAAAGGGGCTAAAATTTTAATCTGAGTCAAAGTTACCAAATAATTTTAATCATATATTTCATGAGATTTATAATTTTTCAATCATACATGTCAAAATTTTTATCAAAATCACTAAAAATTTGATTATTATCTCCACCAAAAATAGACTATGGCCCCGTTTGGCACCCATTTTTATCAAAATGCATTTTTCTCTCTCTTCTTTTCAACCACACATTCTTTATTAAAATAATATTACACGTAAATCAAAAACTTTTTCTTATTTTTCAACCACACATTTTTCATCAATTTACTATTAAAAAATACATTTTCACATAAAAATTCCTACCAAACACCCTCTATAATTGTGGTATGAATGTAACATTTTATGGTGGTAATATGAACGTCCTTAGTAAACTCTGCTTTTATCCATGGGCGGCTAGTGACCCACGAACATAAAAATCGTTTTCATTTTTTTCCTTAAATCGGAAAATCGTTGTTAGACTCCCGTCGCTAGTTGTAAAACGCCCTTTCCCCTTTTGCAAAATCCCATTTGAAAAACCCTAGGAATTTGGAAAATCTTTCTGCAAGGAACTCTACAGCCTGTGTTTCCACTGCCTACGATTAAGCCTTGTTCGGTTCCGCTGCTCACTGTCTGTCTGCTCTGCAAAGCCCGTCCCTAACCCTTCTGCTACTGACTAGCTGACTGCTCCCGTTGCCAGTCCGCCAGGTCAGTTTTGCTTTGGTTTCCCCAAAGTTCTATCATTATATGATTCTGAAATTTCAAATTTCGAAGTATATTTGTGATTTGTGACTGTTGATGGATGAATTGTGATTTGTGAATGTACATTGCATTCATCCACCATTTTTTTCCTTGTCGAATTGGCTGTAGAATGTAGAAATTAATCTGAGTTTACCTTCTTAATGATGCTACATTTTCATGCCTCGTCATGTGCTTCATTTCCAGAATTTCTTTCTCATAGTGGCTCGTCTGAGAATGTTCAAATATACACTTATAAGACGAATATCGAAAATTGGTGTAATTATAGAATATTATCAAAGTATTAGAACACATAAATAACAATTTTAATAAGATCGAATGCTTTAGTTTTTTCACAACTTTTTGCAAGTTTGTTTGTTTCCCCAAATTTTAGCTAAGGATGTTTGTGCCCCCAACTCAAGATGTCTGCGTCTACCACTAATTTTAGCTAAGGATGACAGTTTCAGGCAGGGATTTTTGGAGGTATGGAAGGGTTAAAGTATCTGCTTTGTTATTTATTTTTAAAATTTGATTTAAATTTAAAAAGACAAATTAAATAAATTAAATATATTTGGGTAGGATGCAAAAAATTCGAGGCACGAGTCATGTTCCCATCCCGCTCTAATACCTAGCCTCTGTCCCATTTGAACGGGAAATTTACTTATTTTTTGTTGGATTTAGACCCCTTTGGCATGACTCTTGCTTTTATTTTTGTAAAAGAGTTTTTAAAGAAAGCTACCATAATTTTTGTTTGCAAATTAATTTTTAAAAGAATTTTTTATTTCAGAAGTGCTTTTAGAAAAAGTTACATTTGACTTTCTTTCTCTAAAAACTCTTCCAATTAGGAGAAACACTTTTATAAAATTAGTCAAATTTGGATCTCAAAAGCCGCGCTGAATGGTTCCTAATTTTTCTAAAGCTTTACTTATGCTTTAATCATTTAGCTCCATTTGGCAAATTTAAAATTGTTTACAAATAGGAATACGAAATATGTTTAACAATAATAAACAGAATGTGTGATTGAAATTAATATTTGACTTATAAATTTAAATTATTTTCCAAATAGAGGCCTAATTAAAATCAAGAGAAGTTGCTTTTCTAGACAAATATGTTAAGATCCATATAGATATCCACTCATGTGGTACTTCATTGTACAATATACATGAAATTCATCTATATAGATATCATCATCTACATTTGGAAAGTCGTATATTTTAAAAGAAGCTTGTATAATTTTTTAAGAGTAATATAATAAACTTATGGGTAATTATATTGCCGCTATGAATTTTGTTAATTACACCACAATTTTAAGCATTTTTTTATTTACCTAAATAGCCTTAAGTAAAATAATATAAATGGAGTTTTAATATATTCATAATATAAAACAATTTATTGTTCTACTAGAATCTTCAAATTACAATCTTCAGAACCCTAATTCCAGCAATAACTGAAAATATGGTGCTATCAATGGTGACGTTTGAGAGATTTTATGAAATTTTGGTGTTGAACTTTCCTTTACATCAATTTCTTACGCAGAGCTCTATCTTATCAAATAACCAGGGTCGAATTTATCTCATTGGAGCTATTCAGGGAATGAAATGGATCCTTATAATTTTAAATTCAATGGTGCAAAATCAGTCTTGATCAATCATTACAAACAATTTTAACAGTGTATGATGCTTAAAAGATGACACATAAAATTGTAAAATTCAGTGGTGCAATCTTTCCTTTCAGAATTATTTGTTTCCAAACTTGCTTCCATAATATATCTACTACCTGTGAATCTCTGATTGTGTATATTGGGATGATCAATTCACCACAATACTATATTTTTGTTTTCATTTTTAGTTTTTATTGGATTAGGTGTATAATCATAAATTTGTTGTGGTGTATTTATTGAAAATATATTTTAATTGTGGTGTAATAAGTAAATTTTGCGGTGACAATATAATTACCCTACTTATTTAATCCATCATATTTGAATGTTTTGAATTGAAAACTTAGGGTGCTTTTGATTTTCTGTTTTCAAGTTGTTTTCAGTTTTTAGTTTTCTAAAATATTCAAAATGTGTTTGGTTTGTCATTTTTCAAAAATGTATTTTTAAAAGTAAAAATTTTGAGTGTTTTCAATTAAATTAAAACGCTCTAATCACTTAAAGTTAAAATTAAAATAAAAAATCCAAATTAAGGAGGG